TTTTTATTGGAAACTGAAATATACAGGGAGGAGGAGAAACATAGGGGAAGGTCTTCCGTCTGGTGATTCACACTCCAGGTGGCCGCAACAGCCGTGTCTGAGCCAGTCTGAAGCCAGGAGCTCCTTCTGGGTCTCCCACGCAGGTGCAGGGTACCAAGACGTAGGGCCATCCTTGACTGCTTTTCCAGGCCACAAGCAGGGAGCCGGATGGGACTGCTGGGATTAGAACCAGCACCCATATGGGATCCTGGCACGTGCAAAGCAAGGACTTTAGCTACTAGGCTACCAAGCCAGGGCCAGTTATTTAATTTTTTAACATTTCATTGTCTCAAGAAGAAATCCCCCGTCCTCATTTAGCAACCCCTCCTCGTTACTGCTTGTTCTGTCCCCTGGCGACCATGATATCCTTCCTGTCTCTATGGATTTACCTATTGTACCCATATCATGTAAATGTATCCATAACATATGTGTCTGACCTCTTTGCATCAGGCTTTCAAAGCCTGTTTACACAGTACTATGTGCCAGCGCTTTATTCCTTTCATAGGTGATTATGTTTCAATGTATAGACTTACTGCTTTGTTCATTCATCTTTTGGTGAATGTTTGGGATGTTTCTGCTTCTTAGCTATTGTGAATTATGCAACATGAACATTTTTTTAATGTACTAAAGGTTTTAAGTGTCTTTTTTTTAAAAGATTTATTTATTTTTATTGCAAAGTCAGATATATAGGGAGGAGGAAAGACAGAGCGGAGAATCTCCATGTCCATTGATTCACTCCCCAAGCAGCTGCAACAGCTGGAGCTGAGCCAGTCCAAAGCCAGGAGCCTAGAGCCTCTTCTGAGTTTCCCACATGAGTGCAGGTTCCCAAGGCTTTGGGCCAATCTTATGATCTTTTGCCATTTATTTACTTTCACTTTACTTGAAAGGTAGACAGATGGAAACAGCTCTTTTATCCTTTGGCTCACTCTGTAAATGCCTGTAACAGTGAGAGCTGGGCCATGCCAGGAGTTCAATCCAGATTTCCCATGTGAAGGGCAGGAATTCAGTATTACCTGTCTCTTGCTACCTGCTGCATTGTGCATTTGTAGGAAGCTGGAATTGAGAGCCTGGCTAGGGACTTGAACACTACGATATGGAACCCAAGCATCCCAAGCAACATCCTCTGAGCCCACTCTGATGATTGGGTTATGTTTTTTTCTTGAAGACCATTCTGATGGGTATGAGGTGAAATTCCATGGTAGCTTTAATTTGCATTTCCCTGATGATCAGTGATGTTAGAATATTTTCCAAATATGGGATCATTTTTTTGTTGTTGATAATTGTCATCAAGGCTATTACATACTTTGCTTTCCTTGAGATTTATTTATTTTTATTGGAAAGACAGATTTACAGAGAGAAGGAGAAGATAAAGATCCTGCATCCATTGGTTCACTTCCCAAGTGGCTGCAATGACTGTAGCTCACCTGATCCTTCTAGAAGTCATTAAGTACACATAAGTACATAAGTACAAACATGGAGCTGGATGGAAAGTGGAGCTGCCAGGGTATGAACCAGTGCCCATATGACATCCTGGCACGTTCAAGGCGAAGACTTATCCACTAGGCCATTGACCCGGGCCCAACACACATTTTTCAAAAGAACAGATTCAAATGGCTAACAACTGTGAAAATATGTTCAGGCTCCCTAGCCATCAGAGATACAAATGAAAACCAGATTGAGGTACCACCTAACTCCAGTGAGATCCGCTCTTCCCAGAATTGTTAGCAGAGAGCTGGATTAGAAGTGGAGCAGCTGGGCCTTGAACCAGTGCTCATATGGGGGCTAGTGTTGGCGGCTGGCTCCTTAATGTACTGTGTCACAGATATTGACCTCCAGTTTCATGCTTACTAGATTGTGGTGGTACAGCAAAATAATCCTATGTCTGTGGTGCTGATATCCCACAAGGGTGCTGATTCATGTTCCAGCTGCATCTCTCTGATCCAGCTCTCTTCTTATGGACTAAGAAAGCAGCAGAGGATGCCCCAAATCCTTATGCCCACATGGAATACCTGGAAGAAGCTTCTGACTCCTGGCTTCATATTAGTTCAGTTTGGCTGTTGTGGCCACTTGGAGAGTGAACCTGGATGGAAGATGTCTGTGTCTTCTCTATATCTAAAATAAACCTCTGAAAAGCATAAAATAATAGTAATAACAAAGAACACAGAAAAATAGGCAGGCAGGCGGGCAAACAAAGCCTTGTGCCTCAGGAGTGTAAACAAATACACAATAGTCAATTCCCTAAATGATAAGACTTTTTGTGATATTATGTTGGCAAGATGTCTTTACATAATAGGACACTCGAAAACCATAAAAATATGCCGATGTGATTCTTTAAGCAATAAGATATATAGGAAGTAATGATTATTATTAATTTCATGTATGCATGATCTTTAACCCAGGAATTTTACTTTTAGTACTTGTGTTCTAGGGAACCCATAGAACACTTCCAATAAATCTTTTTAATACTCAAAGAACTTTAATTTAAATGATAATGCTAGATTGTTTTTAAGTAATTTTGACAGAAAAGAAAACTAATCTGAGGTATAGCAAATAGCTTTTGCCTACTGTCCTGTTTTCTTGCTTAAGGAGTTTTATGTCCCTTGTTCATTCTCTGTAACCTTCTCAAGTATTAGCAGGGTGCTGGATTGTGTACGAATCCACCAGGACTTGAACTCATACCTACATGGGATTCTGGCCCACAGGCAGAAGCTTAGTGTGCTACACAATGGTTTTGGGCCCCAAAAGGTGACATTTTTGTCCAGACTATGTGACATTCTCAGTTTAAATTATGTGTACTTAATGACTTCTAGAAGGATCAAGAAGCATATGTAAAAAGGCTTTAGGAAATGAAAACTATTTCTAAGAAAACAGACCCGAGGATAGGTTTGAAACATGACGTGCACTGCTCACCTGTGCTGAATGAAGAGCGCACAAGTCTAGGAAGCAATCAGTCTCTCTGCTCCCTGTAGATCCGCCTCCCCAATACAAATAAATAAATAAATCTTCCAAAAAAAAAGTAAGTAAATAAATCTTTAAAAAAAAATTTAGGTTTTTATTAGAAAGGCGGGTCTAAGAGAGGAGTGATATAGGGTAAGATATTCCGTCGGATGATTCACTTCCCAAGTGACCACAGCGGCTAGTGCTGTGCTGATTCGAAGCCAGGAGCCAGGAACTTCCTCCAGGTCTCCCACATGGGTGCAGGGTCCCAAGTCTTTGGGCCGTCCTTGACTGCTTTCCCAGGCCACAAGCAGGGAGCGGGATGGGAGTGGAGCTGCCGGGATTAGAACTGGTGCCCATATAGGATCCTGGCAGGTGTGTTCACGGTGAGGACATTAGCTGCTAGGCCACCGCGCCAGACTCTAAAAACATAAATCTTAAAAAGAAAAAAGGAGATATGATTTCTCTTCAGTGGTAAACTGAAAATGTAAACCTTTTTTTTTAAAAAAAAGATTTTATTTTTATTTGTGCTCATTATTTTATTTATTATAAGTCAGTTGTGCAGAGAGGAGGAGAGACAGACACACAGATATGTCTACTTGTTTACTTCCTGATTAGCCACAGCAGCTGGAACTGAGCCAATCCGAAGTGAAGCGCCTCTTCCGAGTCTCCTACACAGGTGCAGGGTCCCAAAGGCTTTGGGCTGTCCTCCATTGCTTTCCCAGGCCACAAGTAGGGAGCTGGAATGGAAGTGGAGCTGCCGGGATTAGAACCAGTGTCCATATGGGATCCTGGTGCGTTCAAGGCGAGGACTTTAGCCACTAGGCCGCCGCACCAGGCCCCAGAAAAACGAAATTAACGATACATTGCTAAAATGACAACCAAATTATTATTCATTCATATTAACTCAATGTAAATGGATTAAACTCATCAAATGTCATAGATAAGCGGACTAGAAGGACAAAACCCATCTATTTGTTGCCTACAGGCGACGTATCTCTACAACAAAGATGAGCAGAAAATTATTTCTCCTAGATGTTGATTTTTTTTTTAAGTTTCATCTCTTCAAAACTTTCTGATTAAATTTTTCATTGACTCAGATCAATACATAGCATCATTTTCTTCAAGAAGATTCTTAATTTTCATTTCTTCAACGACACATTAGTCATTCTGTAGCATGTTATTTAACTTCATGATGTTGTTAATTTCTTTTTTTCTTGCTGTTGCTGATTTTGTTTTGTGGCTTTTCATTTAAAGAGATGTATAGTAACTGTGTAATGGAGACTGTCATATCCAGATGTGAGGGTACAATGCAGTATGCATCTCTACTTCCAGATCAAAGGAGGACTCCCAAGGAAACTGTTAACTATATCTTGACAATAGGGTGCTGGACTTTGCCATTTTCTATGCCTATAATGATGGACATATGACTGTTTACGAAGAACTATACTTCAGTAATAATACAGGGGAACTCAGTGGGGGAGGAGTAGACTTGGGGAGAGGGGTAAAGGAAATCCCAGGGCCTATTCAACTGTTTGACAAAATGATGATAATAATAGTTATAATTAAAAAAATGTTTAAAAAGTCTTCAGCGGTTGGCTCTATGGCATAGTGTGTTAAACTGCTGCTTGCAGTGGCAGCACCCACCTGGGTGCTGGTTGGAGTCCCGGCTGCTGTTCTTCTGATCCAGGCTCCTGCCAATGGGCCTAGCAGTCAAGGAAGGCCCAAAGCCTTGGGACCCTGCACCCACACGTGTGGGAGACCTAGAAGACACTCCTGGCTCCTGGCTTCTGATCGGTGCAGCTCTGGCCATTGCAGCCACTTGCGGAGTAAATCAAACGTAAGATCTTCCTCTCTGTCTCTCTTGCTGTGTATATCTGACTCTCCAATAAAAATAAATAGATCTTTCCAAAAAAATTTTTTTAATTACAATATCTGAAATACTTGTGGATTGTTATATATAGATTAACTGTTGCAGAGACTACTAAAAATGTCTTTTTTCCCCCCCTCTTCCTTTACTTAAGGATTCCTAGATGAGGTTATGAAGAAGTATGGCAGTTTGGTTCCACTCAGTGAAAAAGATGTCCTTGGAAGACTAAAAGATGTTTTTAATGAAGACTTCTCAAATAGGTATGTCATTGATAATAAAGTTAAGCCCTCAGATAAAATTGTTGGGATTTATTACTTTTTGTTCTTTTAGGGGGGAAATACTCAGCAATAAATCATGCAGAATTCATGTTTTCAACTGCTGCTTCAACATCTTTGTTTCAGGAAACCATTTATCAATAGGGAAATCACAAACTATCGAGCCAGACATCAAAAGTGCAACTTTCGCATCTTCTACAATAAGCACATGCTGGACATGGATGATCTAGCCACCCTGGATGGTCAGAACTGGCTGAATGACCAGGTTAGTTAGTTTGTAGGCTCTCAGTGTGGGGACATTGCAGAAAATGTTGGTCAGCAAAATAAGATTGTAGCCTCCTGGTTGGCTTCAGTCATCATTTGCTATCAAGGATTGTTTGTTCCTTATCCAGGTGACTCATTCACGAACCCAGGATCCTAACAGTGGTATTACCATCAGCAGTATCATTCATTCAGTCTGTGATGTTCTGAAATGTGTAGGCTTAGTAAGTGATTTTTACCTTTTTATAGGTCATTAACATGTACGGTGAGCTGATAATGGATGCAGTTCCAGACAAAGTAAGTGAAATTTCCTTTATTCAGCTGGATTTTTATGTATTAAAAATACATTTTGAAACTTTTAAACATCTAAACATTTAAATTTAATTAAAACATTTAAACATTTAAAAATTTTTGATATTCCTTAGATATTTGAAAAATGATTAAGATTTTGTATTAGCCGCTTACCAGAATTGGGAATAAGTATTGTTCTCTGTAGAATCCCAGTGCTGTTATTTTCCTTCTTACCTGTGTCAGAGGTCAAAACGTCAGTCTGTTTTGTAAATTGGAATCTTAAGGAAAATGAAAAAGATTCTATCATTTGTCTTTTTCCAGTCAGCAAGTTTACACACACAGAGAAAATGTGAAAGTATTCAAGCATTCAGTATTCCTTTATTTTCAGTGTAAAAAAGGATATGTACTAAGGCAGTGGTTCTTGCAGCTTGGTTCCCAGGCCAGCAGTAGCACCAGCAGCACCTGCGCCTTTGGACTTCATGGAAATCCAGGGATTGGTGCAGTAGCCTAGTGTCTGGGGTCCTCACCTTGCACGTGCTGGGATCCCTTGTGGGCGCTGGTTTGTGTCCTGAGGCTCTGTTTCCTCTTCAGCTCTCTGCTTGAGGCCTAGGAAAGCAGTTGATGAGACCCTGCACCCACGTGGGAAACCTGGAAAAGGCTCCAGGCTTCTGGATTGGCTCAGCTCTGGCTGTTGCGGCCACTTGGGGAGTGAATCATTGGACGGAAGATCTTCCTGTCTCTCCTGCTCTCTGCATATCTATCTTTCCAATAAAATTAATTAATTAATGTTTTTTTTAAAAAAAAAAAAAAACACACCTGAAATTCAAACTCTTGGGCCCCATTCCAGCCCTACTGAACTGGAAGCTAGAGGTGTGACTCAGTAGTTGGTTCATGTCTATCTGCCCCCACTCCCCGCCAAGACCCTGAATATTTTATTTGTTTGAAAGGCAGAGTGGTGGGGGATATTTGAGAGAGCAGATGTCTATAATAGCCAGGAGACTGGAACCTTATCCGACTCCTCAGTGTGGTTGTCAGGATCCTGGCTATTTGGGCCATCATCTGTCACTCATGACTTCATTAGCAGCAAGTTGGATCAGAAGTAAAGTGGAATGGTTGAAGAGCCAGCATTGAGAGAGGTCAGCATGGTGGCATAGAGACTTCAGCTGCTGCTTGCAAACGCATCCTGCAGTTTAGTGCCAGTTTGAGTTTCAGATGTCCTATTTTGGATCCGGTGTCCTGACAGTGCACCTGGAAAGGCAACAGAAGATGGCTCCAATGCTTGGCCCCTGCCACGCGTGTGAGAGACTAGGATATTTATCCTCCTGGCTGTTGCAGCCACTTGGGAGTGAACCAAGGGATGGGCAATCTCTGTATCTCTGCCTTTCAAATTAGTTAAAGTAAAGTAACAGGAACTTAAGGAAATGAATCTGTCCCTCTGATGTGGGGCGTGGTGTCTTAGATAGAGGCTTAATTTGCTGTGCCACAACACCTGCCTTCCTGGAATCATTTTAACAAACTCTCCTGATGATTCTGATACACATTGAGTTAGAGATTCACTGCATTAGAAGGTGATAATTACAAACTCTTTTTATCCATATATTAAGCTGGGTGATTCTCAAAAGAATATCTAACAATGTGTCTGGTAAAAGTATCAGACCAGATGGCTGGGCTCTATCCTCTGAGTTTCTGCTTTAGAAGATTTGAGTGGGGCCTGAGAGCTTGAATTTCTAGCAGATTGCCATGTGGTATTGTTGCTACAGGTTTGGTGACCACAGCAAGAACCACACCTCTGTCGGGTGGGCTGATAGTGGCTGCGTACCACTGATGAGCCAGGAATCTGAAACCAAGGATGCAGAGTAGGTTTTCTCTATATGTCCAGGATAAATCTTTTGATAGTAGAAATGATTAGGACAATAGAAGTCTCCAAATTCAAAACCTTCAGATGCAGTTACTTCTGAAATCCATATTCCTTGAATGTAAGGTAATTGTTACCTCATTTTTTCATAGCCTCTTTCAACTTTATCATTTGATTTGAAGAGATTTGTCAGGTTGCTTCTCTACTTGATTGGATCCAGGTAATCAGTTATGCCCTGTGTCAGCTCTGACGATAGACTATGTCAGCTCTTACATTAAAAGACTATAACCTGAAATGTTTGGGATAGACTCTTCTGTAAATCTTGTGTACTGTCTGTATGTCTTTCATTTTTTGAAGATGAATCTTTTCCTTTTCATCGTTTTTAAGCATTTTTAAATTTCCATTTTGTTCTCATATTAAATCTGGGCTTTGCCAAATATATATCTGTTGTTTTTATTTGGCATCTGTTCCAGGTTCACTTCTTCAACAGCTTTTTTCACAGACAGCTGGTAACCAAAGGATACAATGGTGTAAAAAGATGGACTAAAAAGGTATTCACTTTTGTTTGTTTTTATCCTGGATTTGAAATGAATGAGAAGCCGTTTTTGGTGGAAGGAAAGATCTTTAATGGCAATATGATGTGGATTTGGAGTGACAGGTTTTTAAAAGCTTCTTTTGAATTTGGCTCTTTGGAAGAGAAGATACTAAATGAAACTCTTGAGTCCATCCAGGTGGTTGGCATGTGGTATAAGTGGAAAAGCACTAGGTTGAGAGTAAATACTGTTTTCTTGCTATGCGACTTCGACAAGACATTTAACTTGTCTGGGCCTTAGATTTCTTATTTGCAAAATAAAAATCAGGATAATCTCTGAAACACTTTCTAGTTCTCTCTACTGTCAGAAATGTTATTTTAAAAATCCATGGATGTTCCGTTTTTGATATTTTGCAATATTACCTCCAAGTTCAAATTCCAAGGTCATAAAGCTGAACTTACTGTTACTGCTCCCTTTTTAGCCTTCATAGATTGGACAATTAAAGAGTCTGAAGTAGCTATGAATGGAAATAAGTTTGTGTAAAGTAAAAACATCTCATTGAACATTGCTGTGTAGAAAGTCATTAGCTGCTTCAACGTGAATGAAATGTGGTTGAAGAGTACAAACCCGGGCAATAGATGTAATAAGCTCAGAAATCAGACCTGCATTCAGATCCTAGTTTGATTCCTTAACCATCTGAAAGACCACCTTAGACACATTATTTAATTCCTACAAACTTTATTTCATCATCTAAAATAGGAATATTGGGGTTTACTTGGTTGTGAGGATCCAGTGACATTATGCAGGTAAATCATCAAGCACATGCTGGCCATACAGTAAAGTGCTAATTATTGTTATGATTTTATGATAAGACCAGCAAGATGTGAATGTTAGCTCTCTGATTTAATAATACAGGTCTAGGATTTATTCTTGGGAAAATAATATCAACAAGGAATGTTCTGTATGTAATAAATCATCGTTAGATCACTAGTTATAGTAGCAAAAAATGAAAATGATTGACACATCAGTTTCATGGAAGATTATGTTAATTGCTGATAGCTCATGGTTTTAGTCAGTTTCTTACTGCAAATGTATTCTGAACTGCTGTAATGTTAACCAAATAGGAATGAAAGTTGTGTTACATGTGATTTTCCTACAGGGGAATGAACAGCTTGAAAAACAGTTAAGTCAGGTTTTCTGTTAATTATTCCCTCAATCACATGCGTCTGCCATTTGATGGGATTTCAAATATTTTGTGGAAAGTAGGACTGATACATAAATTACTTTTTGTGCAAAAAATATTAAAACCATGCACAGCTTTTTCATAATAAGAATTTTCCGTGAACATTTTTAAGAACCCTCCGAATGGAATCCTTACGACACTCGTTCTTGTCTAAAGGGGTCTCCATTGCCTGCCGCTTCTGCCTAGAAGACTGTCTCTCCAGGACAGCTCATTCTCTTACATTGCTGCGGCCTCTGCCTCCGTGCTGGCTGCTCAGAGAGGCTGCCCTGCACTGTCCTCTCTAAAGCAGTGCTGCCCCACTGTTCTGCTCGCCTCTGTACTTCCCGTTTCTTGATTTATTATATTCATTTGTTGTCCTCTGTTGGAATGAATACTGCATTCAAGTCTGTTTTGTTTAATGTAGTTATAAAAGAGCAATGTGTGTTGAATTAAGGAATTTAGAGAAATGAAGATTATTTGTGTGTAAAAACTGAAAATAGTATGACTTCCATAGTTCTTGTGTTTTTCTGAGATCTTATTATTGTGGAGTATAAGGAATGTGAAATCAGGGATAGGTAAGCCGTTTCCTTTCTTCCTGACTCTCTTTTTTACTTCAGCAAGTTTCTGTACTTTGTGGTTCCAACCACAATAGAAATAATTTCATATTACTTTATGTCCTTGAGTCCATTTATATATACAGCTGTATAATATGTATTGTATTACATTATTTCTCTTACTGAAACTTGAACCTTTAAGGCTAGGAATCATATTTTCCTCAGATCTGTTTGCTGTTGTAGAGCCTCTTTTCTAAATGTTAATGCAATAAATAATATTCAGGGCCATTAATTAAATGCAAAAAGAATCCATTTTCTAGATTCTAATTGGATTATTTTTAAAAGCTATGTGCTAAATATAAGAAATAAAATAATAAAATAATACAAAAAGGAAGGTGAAAAAAATAAATGATATTTAAAGAAGTTTTAGGCAAATCAAACCCAAAGGAAAATGGCAAATGAAAAGAAGTAATGGCAGTATTAATAGCAGATGAGATAAATTTTAAGGTGAAGGGACTAGAACTAAGGTGTAGCAGGTAAAGCCGCTGTGTGTGTCATTGGCATCCTATTGGGCATTGGTTCGAGTCCCAGCTATTCCATTTCCATTCCATCTCCCTGCTATTGTGTCTGGAAAAGCACAGGATGACCTAAGTGCTTGGACCCCGGTACCCAGAGGGGAAATCCAGAGGAAGCTCCTGGTTCCTGACTTCAGGTTGGTCCAGCTCCAGTCATTGTGGCCATTTAGGGAGTGATCCGATAGATGAATGATTCTCTCTCGCTCTCTGTGTATGTAACTCTACTTTTCAGCCAAATATATATGCATATGGATTTTTTTTTGAAAGATAAATATATATAGAAGATAGACAAAGAAAAATATCTTCCATCCACTGGTTCACTCCCCAAGTGGCTAAAATGGAGCAGAGCCAATCCAGTGCCAGGAGGCAGGAGCTTCCTCTGGATTTCCCACATGGGTTTAGGTTCTCAAGGCTTTTGGCCATTCTCTATTGCTTTCCCACAAGCAGGGAGCTAGATTGAAAATGCAACAGGTAGATACGGTTGTTTTCCACATCTTACATTTGAGGAAATCAAGACACAGATAAGCTAAGAAAATTGTCTAAGTCATCTAATAGAACTGCTTTGGATGGATCCCATGATTTTAACTGAGTCTGTAAAGAAAGAAAACTTTTTATATACCTTGTATTGTTTTTAATGCCATGATTTCTTCTTGAACATAAGTTGAGTTTAAGTGAAAGTGTGCATGAGATATAATTAAAGGACAAGTGACACCACACCGAGGGCTGATAAATACTGGTTCCCTAGGATAATTGACCAAGTACTTTCTGTATCTTCCTGTTTCTTGTTACTGTGTCTTAGTGCTTAGTGATCAATTAGCACAGCTTTAGATGAGACCTTGTTTTAAAGTCAGGTTCACTGCTTGCTGGTTTCATGACCTTCGGCTAGAAGCTGTGTAGAAGCTGTGTTTGTTCATTTCATGGTGATGGCTGCATCTTTTTTTCTGTTTTTTTTTTTTTTTTTGATCAGGTGGATTTGTTTAAAAAGAGTCTTCTGTTGATTCCTATTCACCTGGAAGTCCACTGGTCTCTTATTACTGTGACACTCTCTAATCGAATTATTTCATTTTATGATTCCCAAGGCATTCACTTTAAGTTTTGTGTAGAGGTAAGTTAATATGTTGCCTTATTTGTTGATTTATCTTGTGATTATAATAACAAAATAGCAATGCACTGGGAAAAAGAGCTATCTGTTTGGAAAATTGTAGATTCGTACTGCATATTACATAAAAACAAATTACAGATTGAATGAAGACTTATATGTAAAACACAAAACTGTTAAAGTATTTGGCAAAAAAATTATGGAAGATACTGTATTGTTAAAGAAATGGTAGCAGGATATAGTGTGATGGCTCAATGACTAAATCCTTTGCTTGCAACCACCAGCATCCTGTATATACACTGGTTTGTGTCCTGATTGTTCCAATAACAATCCAGCTCCCTGCTTGTGGCCTGGGAAAGCGGTCTAGGACAGCCCAAAGCATTGGGACCCTGCACCCACGTGGGAGACTTAGAAGAGATTCTTGGCTCCTGGCTTCGGATTGGCTGAGATCCAGCTGTTGTCGTTGCAGTCTTTGAAAAATAAATAAATAAAACCCATAGCAGCAGCGTTTTTGGAGTAGAGAAGTCTTTCAAAAAGAAAAAAGCTTCAAGGAATAGTTTGGTAAATTTAGCCATATCATTATTTAAAGCTAAGCCAACTATATGCCATATAGTTAAAAGACACACAAAAGATTATTACTTGGCAAAAATGCTTGTCACATATATAATAGTATTTATACAAATTAAGAACTACAAATAAGGGTGGAAATGTGTAATCAATTAAAAAAAATAGAGACAGTGAAAAAAAAATCTGATATTTTGTAAGTATCTGATAATTTTAGTGGTGCATCTCCTGTTGTTTTCCAGATTTATTTCGTAGTACCTACTCCGTAAAAATGCTTCCATATGTACATAATTATGGACCATATACCAGAATGATCATTGCAGCATCACTTAAAACAGGGAAAAAATGGTAAAACCTAAATTGAGTTCTATCACAAGACTCGCTTAATGCATTTTTAATATGTCCACATTACTAAACTGGCCATAGCAATAAAATATATAGTAGATCTCCTTGTTCTAAAGTGGAAAGAGGTCCAAGCAATAACTGAGTTTTATGTAGAGTGATTACGGACTGATTCACTGTAATACAGTTATTAGAAAAAACTGCAAAATGCCTACAAGTCTGAGTATTTGCACAAATACACCCCAGTGTGTATTATACATAGTATTTGTAAGTAATAAGGTGGGATGGGTGCTTACCACTTTGATATCAGTGACAACCTTAGAATTCTATGTAGAAAGAAGGATGACTACTACCTTAAGGGTATTTAACCTTGTTTGAGATATTTTTAACTTTTTTTGTAAGGGTAATGTATAATTTTTGAAGATTATTTATTTGGAGAAGCCAGAGAAAGTGAGCAGGCACACTCTTCCATCTGCTGTTACAGTCCTTAGATGGTCATAACTGCAAGGGCAGGCTGGGCCAAGCCAAAGCCACGATCTAGGAGCTCTTGTCTCCCACATGGGAAGCAGGGACCCAAATACTTGAACTAGCTTTAGCTGCTAATCTTAGGCTATCAGTGGGGAACTGGATCAGAAGTGGAGCAGTGAGGACATGACCTGGCAGTAGCAAATGGGAATGCAGGTGTTGCAGATGGAAGTTTTACAGATTGTACCATAGTAGCAGCCTCTATAAACTCTATTACTTGCATAATTAATTTTTTAAGATTTATTTATTTGAAAGAGTTACAGAGGAAGAGGGAAAGACTTAAATCCACTGGCTTACTCTACAAGTGGCTGCAATTGCCAGGGCTAAGTCGGGCTAAATTCAGGAGGTTCTTCCGGGACACCCACGTAAATGGCAGGGTCCTGCCCAAATACTAATGCCATTTTCCACATTTTTTCCCAGGCTGTTAGTAGGGAACTAGATCAGAAGTGGAGTAGGTGGGATGTAAACGAGCACCCATATGGAATGCTAGCATTATAGGTGACGGGATTACTCACTGTGCTGTGTCCTGCCCCCACATAATTAATTTTTAAGATATATTTATCTTTATTGGAAAAGCAGATTTACAGAGAGAAGGAGAGACAGTGAGGGAAAGATCTTTCAATCACTGGTTCAGTTCCTCAGTAGCACATCGGCCAGTGCTGAGCTGATCCATAACTGGGAGCCAAAAGCTTCTTTCTGGTCTCCCACACGAGTGCAGCATTGGAAGAACTTGGGCCATCTTCCACTACTTTCCCAGGCAATAAGCAGGAGCTGGATTAGAAGTGGAGCACCTGGAACACAAACCAGCACCCATATGGGATGCTGGTGCAACAAGTATAGGATTAGCCTATTGAGCCACAATGCCAGCCCTACAAACTTAATTTGTAAATGTTAATTTTGATATTTAGAGAGACGAAGAGCCTACTAACCATCTTCCATCTCCTGGGTCCCCAAACATTTATCTGTTGGTTTATTCCATAATACCTGCCACCTGCCAAGGCTAAGACTAGACAAGGTGAAAACCAGGAGCTAGGAACTCAGTCTAGGTCTCCTGTATGGGTGTCAGAGACCCAACCACTTGAGCTAGAACACCATGCCTCCTGCAGTAGGCCTCACCAGAAAGCTGCGGTGAAAGCGGAGCCAGGACTCTTTGCCAAGCACTTTTTATGGACTGTGGTTGTTGCAACTTGTGGGATAGTCACTCTGTCATCCCCCATTCCTATAATTTAAAAATTTAATTTAAAGTTAAATATGAAAACTAAGGGAAGAAATCAAGTTTTTTTTTTTTTTAATTTGTTTTTGTTGGAAAGGCAGATTAGATTTGCAGAGGGAAGGAGAGACAGAGGAAGGTCTTCCATCTGCTGGCTCACACCCCCAGGTGACCGTAATGACTGGAACTAGGCTGATCAGAAGCTAGGAGCCAGGAGCTTCTTTTGGATTTCCAACGGGGGTGCAGGGACCCAAGGCTTTGGGCCATCCACTACTGCTTTCCCAGGCCATACGCAGGGAGCTGAGAGGGAAGTGGAACAGCCAGGAAATGAACCAGCAACCAACCTTATGGGATCTTGGCATGTGCAAGACGAAGACTACCATTACACTGGGCCCAAAATCAAGTTTTTGAAATACAGGTTTTTGTTTCTAAGAAATCCAGAAGGTAGTGGGGGAGGAGTCCTGGTCCTTGGGTTCTCCAGCTGCAGCCCAGAAGAGGTAAATACCAGATATGACTGTTTTCTAGTTTACTTCCCTCAATTTCCAGCATATTTCTCCACCAGCACATTCTACTTGCCAGCACTTGGCTATGTTGTTTCTTGCCTGGAAAATTCTGAAGAAAGAATCTGCTTGGAGAGGCAGCACATGGTGGCTTATATGGTTTGGCTTCTGCCACCCGTATTGGAGACTGGAATGTGGTCCCGACTCCTGGCTTCCATCTAATGCGGCCCTGGCTGTTGTGACATTTGGGGATATGACCAGCAATGAAAATCAGTCTGTCTCTATCCCTCCCTTTCTTTCTGTTCCCTGCCTGCCTCTGTCTTTTTCTCTGTGATATTCTTCCTTTCAAATAAGTAAATAAACTTTTTTAAGGCAGGCAGTTGGTGTTTAAGTCAGTGCTTAATTACTGGAAGTCTGATTCTTCTGCAGTTGTTCAAAAATTGATCTTCTGATTTTTTGTCTAAGCCCTCCTGCAGTTCGTACCTTTTCAGCAAAAATTGGAACCAGCTTGATAACTTTACCTATCTGCAGAAAGTCTCTAACAGTAGTTTTGGTTTTAGCTAAAAGTCATTTAGAACCAAGCACAGTCATTCAGGTAAGTGGGATTAGAAAGTTGTTTTATGTGAATTTAGTAGTCAAAAGTGGCTATAAATGAGCGCTGGGAGATTGGGGGAAGATGATTGTATCTCCAAAGAGTTAACAGAATGTTTTAAAAATGGATGTAAGGGTAATCTGGCTGTGACATCTGTCACCCCATTGATCACTAGGATTGATTCGGCTGATCTGGCTGGCAAGCAGGTGTCCCCATTCTCCCTCACCAGTCTGTGTATGTTTCTCCTAAAGTTGTGTGCTCAGGCTAAGAGGACAACCATACCTGATAGAGGAGGATTGGTTTCAGTCAACGGTTAAGAAGAAAAAGGAAAAAAAGATGTTTTTAAAATTACCAAATGAATGTCTATTCCATGAATGCGGAGTAGCAGCTTTATTCACTACTGTGTCTCTATCTGCATTTTGTATAGAGATGTGTAGTAACTGTTGAATGTAGTTCACTACTTCAAAGGACAAATCTTTGCTTGTATTTTATGCATGAATTTACATATATACTGCTTATTAGTTGAAGTATCTTCTTTGGAGGGAGAAAAGTAATATTCAGTTATGCTTTGTAAAATAACACATGTTTTCTTTCACTAAATGTTTTCCAATGAACATTATTTAGTTTCTGTAACTCCTGTCTTCACTTGATACACAGAGCATTGTGCATAGAGATTGAGGGCATGAAGGAAATTGTGATACTCCAATGGGCCAAATCTTCATAAAGATTCCAACAATGGACTCGATTGTGTTCAGAATAGGTTAAGGATAACTTTCCAGAAACTCAATAATGTGACCCTTCCTATGCGCTCAAAAATAAGAAGTATATGCTTAGTTTTAACTATTAATTGCTGCAGTAAATTCCTCTGTTAAGCATGACAGTGATTTTTTATTTGTCTTTCCATTATGTAAATTTCTTTGACTCACTTCTAGAAATGGCTAACCATCCCATCAAGCAGTCTATTTAAATAGATGTCTGCATCCACATTTCAAAAATAAAAACCTTGAGTAGAAAGGATTGAAGCCTGCCTTAATAGTATGACCTGAAAGCTATGAAGTAAATTCTAGTTTTAAACTCCTTAATGCCTACTCTGCCCGGTTATGAGCCTGTAGTTCCCCTTTTCTGGGGCAAGTTCCATTTTCTATCAGCTGATGGAACACAATGTCTGTGTTAATTTCTTTTTAACCAGAATATAAGAAAGTATTTGCTGACTGAAGCCAGAGAGAAAAATAGACCTGAATTTCTTCAAGGTTGGCAGACTGCTGTTACAAAGGTGAGTATATGATATGAATGAAACCTAGGCATGCCCAGGACATGGAATGGCACCAGGGGTGGGTTGCCTGTGAGAGCTTTTGAAAACTGCTGTCAAAGATAGTAGTCAAGGAGGTGGCTGAGAACAAACCTCCCTTTTGTGTTTGTCACCTGGCTGAAGATCAGGTCAATTGTAATGATGACATTGCTATACTAAAGTCAGATTGATTTAGGGAGATGTCATGTGCCTCTTGCTCTGTGACTGTTCATTCTAGGGACTTGCCAGAATGACTGCTTGGATCCACTTGGGTCTACTTGGTGAGGACAAAGGTCTGAGCATCCTGGATGCAGGCAGCCCCACAGCAGACCTGTAGACACTGAAACTGCATGTGGGGCAGAGTGCCTCTGAATCCTGTCATGAACACCAGTGTCTTGTATTTTATGATTGATACTGTATTGTTTTCAGTTCCTGTGTATGATCTCATTTGATCTTTACAACCTGTGTGGTAGTGGGTCATTTAGAGATAAGCCTAATCTTTATTCTGCAGCAAAGGAAAGTGAACATAGGTCTTTGAACTGAGATCTCTAAGAAATCGATAACATTACAGGTGGGGCCTTAAAACAGGCATTTCACCCAAATCCTAAGGGAGATAGTTGATTATCCTTGAACTGAACCAAATACTAAATTTTAAAATGGCGCATAACATTGGGTTACCTAACATACTCGTGCAAATGAGATCTAAACTTGTAAACTTTTAGAATGAAATTCAGTCAGGGTTGTTTATATTCCCACTTCTGGCAGCATCAGTAACTGGTTCTTTAGAAACACTTTGCCTTTATGATTTCTTTCAGAGTTGAAACAGTTGGGTGAAAAGAGGTGAAAGCGAAGACAGTTAAGCAGTTTTTAACCTGCTAAATATTCCGAGTCCAGGAATATGTTCTGATCCACAGTTCCATTTTGATTGCATTATTATTGAGTTGTTATTAGTGCTAATTATCCAAATGAATGTTTTAAAAATAGGGCTTTTTTGTTTGTTTGGTTTTTGTTGTTGTTGTTGTTGTTGTTTGTTTTGTTTTGGTTTGTTTGTTTCTTATTTGCTGTATTCAGGTAAAATGACAGGTGCCACTTCCTGGCTCTCTCCATGTGGACAGATGCCTGCATCAAATCAGATGCTGGAGGTAGCAGCAATGTTGGAATAGGGAACAACTTTGCTGTCTCTTGCTCATGTTGCCATAGAATATTTTTTTTAAGAGTATTTGATCTTATGCCATTTTGTTTTTTCCCCTTAGTGTATTCCACAACAGAAGAATGACAGTGACTGTGGAGTCTTTGTGCTCCAGGTAAAGAAATACTATTGGTTTTTCTTTCTCCCTGCCTCGCCCCCCACATTTACACTGAGTGAATTAAATGTTGGCGTTTTAGCGGCGAGATAGAGTCCTGTGTTGAACAGGAATCTAGATGCAGGCCACAGAATACTTTGGCCCTCCCTTGGTTGTTGAGAAGCAGTAGTTTCTGCATTCCCAGATGTTGTCGTTGGAGAAACTGTCTTCTGAGGCCAAGGATGGACAGTGGGGTATTCTCTTTCTCAGGGGTTATGGATAAAGTACACAAGAGGCTGACATGAATTTGTCTATATGACAGACTTTAAAACCAAGTCCTAATAATTTGGCAGTTTGAGCATCAGTGTTTTTGATGTTTGTGTTTTCTTGTAGTTTCATGTCAAGAAGAGTGGGTAAAGATGGTGAGGAGGATAATAGTTAAAGTAGCTTCCCTTTTGGAATGGCAGATGGTTATAAAGGTCAGATGGTTGTATTTGTTACAGGGATTTGATGTTTACAGAGGGGTGAAAGTATTTCTCATAGAGCAGCAGTACTGTGAACTCGAAAGGTGGAGGGTTTACAGTTCAGCCAACATGTAATGGGATGTGCACACAGCTGTTTATGTCTGCTGGGCTGTTCACACGACAGTGCTCCAGGAAGAAAGTGTAATTCTTGCATTTAGAGCTTGGGGATCTTGGACCTTAGGGTTCATTCGTACACCCCATGAATGTTTGGGGTCTGTGAACAAATGTTGGATCCCACTTAGGAGCTGTGGTAGGGCAGCCTATACTCTCAGCAGTTTGTACTTAGACTGCTCTTCACAGGATTGGGTTTTCACAGATGGGGTCAGGGAGGGAATATCCTGGTCATGTAACTTCAGGTAAATGTTTTGAAAGAGTACAGTTTTATTTTTTTAACAAGTGTTAAAAAAACTTCAAGGAGATGCTGTTTTAGACTGTAGAAAGCCTGCATCCAGTGATACACACTGGGCTGGCAAGCCAGTCTGCACACCAGACTGAAGTGTCTCTGGACCCTTTGCAGTACTGCAAGTGCCTCGCCTTAGAGCAGCCTTTCCAGTTCTCCCAGGAAGACATGCCCCGGGTGCGGAAGCGGATCTATAAGGAGCTGTGTGAGTGCCGACTGATGGACTGAATCTCTGCAAGGACTCTGGGAAGTCTGGCCTAGTTGGAACAGATGGTTTGTTACTTGAATCTCCAAACACTTATTTGAATTTTTACAGATGTTTCAGATCAGTGGTGTTGGGCCACTATTGTTACCTCAAATTTATTTTCTGCCCTTATTCTTTTCTCCAGCTATATCATGTATTATTTTTTAATGTTCAGTTTGGTTTCATTTTTAATTTTATGGATTTCGCGCGTCTCCCCTCCCATATTTAATATTTATTATCCAAACGCATGCATATAGACAGAGCATGCAGTGAAGAGTATTAAAAAAAAAAGCCTAGTAGATTTGGTGCAGCTTTTGAAACTTAGTTAGACATGAACTGAATACAGGTTGAAAATTTAATCCCAGAACCTAAAAATGCAAGATGTTTTTGATACAAAATAACTCTGTAGATGTTCCCTGCAACATAAAGGGAAGCCAGGAGTGGTGTTGACAAAGCCAGTCCTATTTTACCAGGAGCACCTGTCGCCAACTTCTCTCTCCAAGGGAATCTCAGTACAGATGCATTCCTGTGTAAGAGTGAGGTGAAAAGTGACTGAACTGACGGGGTGTTCTGTTTATGGAGGCATGCTTGTTAAGCGCACAGTGCCTGCTTTGGGAAGCACTGAGTAAGGAAGTAAGGTATGACAAAAAGATAGTGACCTTGTGGGCCAGTTATCTTAACAAGTGAGATTTTGAGAATTATGATACATAGCTTAAATCTCAAAAAGGATTTTGCTGGGACATTGAATTGCCTGGCTTTCTCTGGGTTTGACTTGTTAAAAATCTTACCCATCAAATTAGTGGTCAAATAAGAATTCAGCCTTTCTATTGAAAGATTTTCAAATCGTCACTTCATCTTACCACCTGAGTGGAAGAAATTGTGATTTACCAAATGCAATTCTATTTCAAGGGTTTCAGAAATAAGAACATCCAAAATTGAAGGCTGATTTCAGGTCTTTGCAGGTGGGATGAGAACAGGGAAAGTCACAGATTGTAGTAAATGTCATAGAGGTTCTCCCATCCCTGTTTCTTCAGCCTTGCAGCAACATGGGAGGCGCGCTTGGCTGCTGAAGGACCGTCCTAACATCCCAGCACAGGGCTCCTCCCCGCCTGTGGAACCTCGACACCCCGGAAAAGCCTGTTAAAGTGGTCCTGAACTTACCCCTGAACTGCATTAGGGTTAATGTGGCCTTCTATGACATATTTGAAAGGAAATAAGGGAGGAAGTGTATTAAACCTATTCAGTTATCTTTTCTGAACTGGGGAGGGAAGCAACGAATGTATATAAGAATCTCAGAAGCTTGTTTAGAAAAATAACCAGGTAAATAGCAGAAAATACTTGAACTTCAATACTTTGACTTAGGTATGAGATGTTGAAAAGAAAGGGCTGAGATGTTTGGTTTACCTTGGCCCTGAGGGGCAGCTGAGGGTTGAGTCAGACCATGTTTACACATAGGGTTCTTGATACTAGTACTGATCCTGGGAAACAGCCTCTGCACCTCTGGCGTCCTCTAGACTCCAACTCCTTAGCATAAAACCAGGTCAGTATTTCTTAACTGTGCTTCAGGTGGTTAAAAAGTAAGAGTGGAGGCACTTCATGCTGTTACAGGTAGGGTTGTGTCAGCAGTGGGAAAAATGACAATTTGAAATGAGGAAGATGTCTTGCTGAAGTTTCCAGAGATAATCATACCAACATGAGCTTTGTTTCACAATTTGTGTGCAAGATATCTGCCTCTCATCTCCCCCTGCCCATCCACAACCCACCTGGATATACCAAAGTAGCCCATAACACGGCTATGGACATGAAATGTCTTTGTGATTTCAAAGTGAGGCAGTAGCTCATTTCCTCACGGACATCCCAGCCATACCGGACATGGAATTGTGTTTCTGCCACCGTCTAAATGCTCAGAGCTCAAGTTGCCATTTCCAGTAACCTGAGAAACGGTCCATGTCAGCCCTGAGGCCTGCAGGGATGAGTGTAGAGACCCTTAAGTGAATTCTCCAAGTGCAGTTACTTTTTCACGTCCAGCTTAATTGGGCACCTTAAAGTGTGATGCCCAGCATGGTTTAGGCTATGTTGTATTTTAAAAGTCTGTTTTACAGGTGTGTTTTCTTGTCATTTATGAAACTTGGTTTTAGTACAAACAGTTACTTTCCTCTTATAATTAGGTATAAACCGAAACCTTTATTTAGCTCAAGTCCTAAATAGGATATCTTTTGTCCTGATGTTTGCAATAATTGCTTCCTGCAATAAAGCTATTTTTGAAACATTCCCTGGGCTGTTGGTGAAAGAGACAGGCATTTCTTTACTGTTATTTGCTTGGCACTGAACTGTTAGCTGCCCACAACGTAGGCAACCCTTATGCAGTTGGGATTGAATGTAGACCTTGTACAAAATAAAAGCTAATTACTAAGTCCTTCAGCAAGCTGCCCAGTCCTCTAATGAGCAGATTTACCAGGTGACATAGTTGCTTCTTTGCAGTGGCCATTCCTTTTATTAAAAGTGTAACAATGAAAATAAGGTTTTATTCAACTTTTAGTTAAATTTATGTATAGAGACAACTTTCAGGTAGCATTAAGGATGGAAAAGAAGCATTTGCTGCTAATAATCCCCTCAGTTTTACCCTCCTCCCCCTGATTTCCAGCTTTTGCATTATTTTTTCTACTTAGCCTTGAATATGAGTGACATGGTCATCTTGAATTTAGAGTTGGAATAAGACAGTAACAGAACTAATGGGATGCAGTCGATACTAGCCTAATCTGGTTTCCCTTTCTTTCTACTGTTGTGGTTCATTGCTTCCGTGGGTTGCAAGGATTTGGGAGCCTGGGGGTGTCGTCCTTTCAGGCAAGAACAGTGTACTGGGAGTGTGCTTACTTATGTCAAGAAACCAAGTTAGCAGTTACGAAGCACATGTTATGCACTAGCTCTGCCTCCTGACCTGTAGAGGACTTGAGGAAACCATCAAAGTGCTTATTACATTGAGTGTTGCAAAAGCGGACCTAAACCAGTTGTTCACTTAAATGGTACCTGTTGGTCAAAAAAGAATTTATTTAAAGATTATGATCATGTAAAATTACAGTACTCAACCCTTATAGCAAAATATTTTTTGAAAAATAAACTAAATGCCTTTATAAACTTGTGTTCTCTGTGTTGGATAACATTGTTTGCTTTTCCCAGTGACATTCTAGTCATGACAAGGCTCATGTAAGTGCAGTGAACCATGTAGGCCCTTAGCACCTACACTCTGAGCAGAACTGTCCAGCAGAATCATAGGCAGTGATGAGAACATTCTATATTGTTGTCAGGACTACAACCACTAGACCCATGTAGGTAGTGAGCTTTTAAAATGTAGTTAGTGTGACTAAGAAAGCGAATGCTTCATTTTCTCAGCATCTGCCATATCAATGGCCCAGCTCTCAAGCAGGTGTCAAGTTTCTCACTTTAGCTGACAATGGATTTGAACCCATTAAGCCTACAGGTAACAATCTAGACAGACCTCATGTTTCACCTAATCCTGTTCCCTACTTGGTATGTGTCTGAATTGTCAGTTTATTTGATTGAAGTTGAGAAATTGGTAAGATACTGATCCTGAGAGAAACAGAAAAAAGGGATACAATAAAGACTCATTAACACCATCAAGCCCGAGAAATATCAGGTCCTTTTTTATGTTACTCTCATTTCCCTTCCCATTCAATGATCCTAGAGTGTGTTTTCTGGAAAATTACTCTATCAGTAGAGAAGATTGCTTGGTGCAACTTTTTTTTTTTTTTCAGATTTATTTATATTGGAATGGCAGACTTACAGAGGAGAGACAGAAAAATCTTTCCACTGGCTCACTTCCCAAGTGGCTGCAGTGGCCACAGCTGTGCTGATCGGAAGCCTGGAACATCCTCCCACACAGGTACAGGGTCCCAAACATCCTTTAATGCTTTCCCAGGCCACAAGTAGGGAGCTGGATGGGAAGTAGAGCAGCTGGGACTAGAACTGGCACCCATATGGGATCCCAACACATGCGAAGGGAGGATTTTGCCATTGAGCCATTGCACTAGGCCCAAATGGTGCAACTTTCAACATTTTCATAAGAACATGCATACTTTCTCTTCATATAACTAGCTGTAATGTCAGCTCAAAAGGACACTGGGTATTATTCATGGATCCCCCCCAAAACTCATTCATGCTTACATACAGCAAGGGGGTTCAAGAACATGTCATTCTCTATAGATGAAAAACAGTAAGTTGGCCCAACTTTTATTGAAACCTATCACAGAAGATGGCAATTGCAGTAAGAAGCCCCCGTCTTTGGTTTTAAGGCCTGTAAAAATCTGACATGTTTTACTATAAAATATTAAAAATATTTGTTCAAGCTATAGAATACATAAGGATAAGGACACAGTGTATCCTCATTAAATGTCTGCAGATGGTTTCTTCCTAAGCACATAATGTTCTAAGAGCTAAAACTACCATAGCTGGATTTAATTAGGAGTCCACTGAAGCTCGTGAGCTGACTGTCCTCTGCAGGAGGAACAGCACCAAGCAGGTTTTATAAAGGCGGAAACAAACAGGGCAGGGGTTGCATAGGTCAGTTTCGCATGAAATGGTTTTTTAGCTTTCCTTACGGAAATTTTACATCTGGGAACAGGAGGACTCCCCAGATGCAGGCCTGCCTGCACAAGATAAGCAAACAGTGGAGTCTAAAATTTTTTATCCCATGAGAGTAAAACTAGCTAGTTCTTCTCAAACCAAAGATCCACTCTAAAGTTAATGTACTGACAGATATTTCAGCCTCAGTTTTTATAAACTACTGGAAGTCGGAAGATACTTCGTTGCTACATTCTATATATATGTATATATATATATATATTCATATATATATAACTTTTTTTTAATTGAAAAGTCAGATTTACACAGGAGAGACAAGGTCTTCCACTCACTGATTCAATCCTCAAGAGGCCACAATGGTCAGAGCTGAGTCAATTTGAAGCCAGGAGCTTCTTTCAGGTCTCCCACATGGGTGCATGGTCCCAAGACTTTGGGCCATCCTCCACTGCTTTCCCAGATGACAAGCAGGGAGGTGGATGGGAAGTGGAGCAGCTGGGACATGAACCAGTGCTCATATGAGATCCCAGCAGTTGAAAGGCAAAGATTTTAGCTATTAGGCTGCTGTGCCAGGCCCAATTAATACTTACTTTATCAGGAAAACTTTAGACTCAGTTTTAACTAAGCAATAGTTCACATATTAGAAATGACCTCTTACCCAACAAATCTGTGTTAAATTCTCTAGACTCTTCTATTTTAGGGACCACCAGCTTATTATTTTGGATTCAGCCTAGTAAGAATAATTTGGAAATAAAGTAAAGCCAGCTGTAGTATGAGAATTGGCTGAAGTAGACACAAAGCAACTGTTTTTGTTAAATATCCTAAAGCGATATTAAACTTGCTCTACTCCCAAGATCACTCAATCTAACAGCCCTAACAACAATCTGCAAATCAGGGGGCTGAAAAAATATTTGAAAGGTAGAGAGCTATGAGACAGACTTGCATGCAGTGGTTCACTCCCAAAATAGCTTCAACAGTCATGGGGCTTGGCTAGGCCCAAGCATGTGTACCATCTTCCAGTTTTCCTAGGTGCATTGGCAGAGAGCTGGCATGGAAGTGGAGTGGCCAGTCCTTGAATCGACACCCCTTTGGGATTCTACCACCACAGGCAAGAGCTTAAATGTGCACCACAAAACAGGTCCCAATACAACTCTCTTGAGATTTTCTTCCATTTCTTTTTAAAGATTTTATTTTTATCATTTTTTTATTGGAAAGGCGGATATACAGAAAGGATAGACAGAGAGGAAGATCTTCCGTCCGATGATTCACTCCCCAAGTGAGCGCAACGGGCCGATACTATGCCGATCCGAAGCCAGGAGTCTCCCACGCGGGTGCAGGGTCCCAAAGCTTTGGGCCGTCCTCGACTGCTTTCCCAGGCCACAGGCAGGGAGCTGGAAGGGAAGCGGGGCTGCCGGGATTAGAACCGGCACCCATATGGGATCCCGGGCGTGCAAGGCGAGGACCTTAACCACTTGCGCCACCGCGCCGGGCCCGATTTTCTTCCATTTCTTACCGAAACTGTCCACACTCTGTGGCTCTCTATATTATAAACCTTTGTTTGCACCCCATCCTCCTGGCAATTTCTTTCTTTTTAAAGGTTTACTTATTTATTTGAAAGGCATAGGTCCTCCAATTACTGGTTTGCTCCCCAAATAACTACAGACAACTAGTACTGGAGCCAAGCTAAATCCAGGAACACCTGAGTGGCAGAAACCCCAGTACTTGGGGTTGTCACCTGTGGCCTCCCAGGTCTGTTAGCAGGAAGCTGGATCCAAAGTAAAGGAGGGACTTTATTCGGGTATGGGATCCCAGATAGTAGGTTAACATGCCCACCCTAACCCCTTGCTGTCTTTAGTTGCATTTTTTTAAACACTATATTAGATTCTGCATAACATTTCCAAATAATAAAACATGGAAACAAGTGGCATCCCCTTGAATGTAGGGCTAACCTTTTCTATCAACTACTGAGGGGGGTCACTTAACCTTTAAATTTGCCTTTCAAGACTAGCAATTAGCACAGCAGACAAACACAGTTAAATACTTGTTCCTGATTTTGAATAAATGTGTACAACATTTTAAAAAACTGATTTATTAAACATGCAGACTTAACAATAAAAAGTAATCAATCTAGGCTCCAACATGAATAGTGAACCTGCTTTGATGCAAACATGGTAAAGCCAACACTTTAATTTTCCAGTCTACCTAAAAGAAGTGTGGTGTTTTGGCTAACAGATTAATCAACATTAACTCTCTTGCCAAGGAACACAATTTCTGACCTGGTTAACAGAAAATCATTCTGGTAACCTGACATATGGTCAAGATTTGAAGACGAATTAAAGGTATTCTTCAGGGTTGTCCTTCAATAATTTTCAGAGGGAAGCCAAGGGGCTTGAAGCTGCGCAGATACTGATGGAAGTTTCCCAACAGCAGCCGACTCGCAGACCTTGGGTAGCATTCTTCAGCACGCAAGAGTTTCTCACTGATGGGGCTCTTACTGCTCACTGGTTTTGTGCCAGTTTTCCATATCCTCCTCTCCCAGCATCATAGTCCTGCCGATACTCATCTCGTACCTTAATTTAAAGAATAGTAAGTTACCGTACAGAGAACATTGGTGGAACAAGTGTGCCTTTCACTAACAAGTCACACGAACAGCTCTACTCTATTTCAGATGTCATGGTGTGACTTGACTATTCAGGGAGGACATTTGCATTAGATCACTTTAAAAACTATTTTAGGGAGTTTGGGGCGGGGGGAATCCCAGTCTATACGAAATATCTGACTTTGCAAAAATTCAAAATAGAAATTTGAAAATAAAAAGAGCTTAGTACATGTGCTCTTGTTCTAGGCACCCTGCAGGTAGTAGTTCAGTAATGCTTGCTTACAGAAATTCTTGGAATTTACCATTTCAAGGTTTAAAAATTTTTTTGTGAACCCACGGTCAAAGGTAGAGGCATATCATTCACAAGAGTAGACAAATGACAAGGCAGCTGTGATCAGGAGTGGAGTGTCGGACCAAAGCCAAGTGCAGAGGCCCTTCCTGCGTACCTGGCCCCCAGAGCGTCCACGTCCGTACTGCCTGCCCTCCTTAAAGCCTGCATCCCAGTCTGTGCGAATGATCCGGTCATCCAGACGAGTTCCATTTATATACCGCATGGCATTTTCTGCATCTGCTCTTGAATAATATCTTTAGTGTTAAGCATTAAGGAATGCTAGCATTGCTCTAAAAACCTTTGGAAAACTTTGGAAGCAACAGCAGGGGGCCCAGCGCCACAGCCTAGTGGCTAAAGTCCTCACCTTGAATGTGCCAGGATGTCATATGGGCACTGGTTCATATCCCGGCTGCTCCACTTCCCATCCACCTCCCTGCTTGTGATCTGAGAAAGCAGTGGAGGACGGCCCAAAGCCTTGGGACCCTGTACCCGCGAGGCAGACCTGGAAGAGGCTCCTGGCTCCTGGCTTTGGATTGGCATAGCATCGGCCATTGTGGTGACTTGGGGAGTGAATCACTGGACAGAAGATATTTCTCTCTGTCGCTCCTCTTCTCTGTATATATCTGACTTTGCAATAAAAATAAATCTTTAATAAACAAAAACAAACAAAAAAATAAAACAACAGCAGAGACCTGATGGCTCTTAATCATCTGACCCTGAGGTTTTACCTCCAGGCTGTGCAGTAGCAGGAACCTAGACCAGAAGCAGAGCTAGGATTTCAGCAGAAATTTAACCTACAACACCACAACATCTACCCAGAGATAGTATTTCTAAAAATCTCTATAAACATTTAAAAGTGTTAGCTGGCTTTGGGAAATGCTGATCTAGATTCCCCCCTACATCATCTTTGATTATACAGGAAGGGAACTATTTGGTCGTTTCTAACACTCAGAAGGGGTCAGTAGCCACTCGGTAGTTTCTGATGAATGACATCAATGCTAGGAGCACAAAGAAAGCACCTGGCAATGACAGCCTCCCTGTGCACCTCTGCCATTATGACTTGATCTTTAACTTGAAAGGAAAGTTAAGTTGTAAATACAACATGTCAGAATGATTGTCTACCAGGTAGCTATTTGGTTTTTATTCTCCATGTCACCAAAGAACTACTTTATGCCCATTGCTATGATGGGGAAAGCAAAATCTGGACAGTTTGGTCCTTTCTGTCTGAAGGAAGAACAGAAGGAGCTTGCTAGGCCCAGAAATGATATACCATAATTTCAAAGGAGGATTTCTGGGTCAAACTGATGAGGAAACATGTTTCTTTTTTCTTCTTAAAGGCACCAGGGAAATGACAGGAGGGGACACCCAAAGAACGGAAGAGACCAGCAGCCAAATAGATTTAATACAAGCTGGCAAGAGTGCTAGGATGAAACAGGCCCAACAGAGGAGATACCTATCACAGGAAGCTCTTCATTCAAAATTAAGAAAGAAGTAATATTGTAAATAGTTTAAACATCTCCTTTTAAATGCAGATGTAGGAAGGAATATTTAACACACACACACACACACACACACACACACACACACGACGGGCCTCGTGCAATGGCTCAGTAGCTAAATCCTTGCCTTTCAAACAGTGGCATTCCACATGGGCACCATTCCATGTCCTGGCTACTCCGCTTCCAGTCCAGCTCCCTGCTTGTGGATTGAGAAAGCAACAGCGGATGGCCCAAAGCTCCGGGACCCTGCACCTATGTGGGAAACTGGGAAGACACTCCTAACTCCTGGTTGTAGATCAGATCAGTTCTGCAGCCACTTGGTGAGTGATCCAGCGGACAGAAGATCTATCTCTTCTGTAAATATGCCTTTCTAATAAAAATAGATCTTTTTAAAAATATTTTATTGTAAAGTCAGATATACAGAGGAGAAGAGACAAAGATCTTCTGCCTGATGGTTCACTCCCCAAGCAGCTGCAACGGCTGAAACTGCACCGATCTGTAGCCAAGAGCCACGCTGAGAGGGATGCCCTGTCTGAAATTCAAAGAGCCAGCTCTGGGGCAGGTGCAATACCACAGTGAATTAAACTGCCACTTGGGTAGCTATATGCCATCTTGGAGTACCAGTTCTGAGTCCCAGCTATTCTGCTTCTGCTCCAGCTTCTTGTAAATGTTTCTTAGGGAGTCAACACTTGTGGCTCAAGTACTTGGACTCTGCCACTCACATAGTGGACCTGGATGGAACTGACTCCTGGCTTATGCCTGGCCCAACCATGGCCATTTCAGCCCTTTGGGGAGTAAAAAAGCAGCTGGAAGATCAGTGTCTTCCTCTTTACCTTTCAAATAAACAAAACTTCTTTAAAAGTTATAGAATAGTGAGCATGGCACAACAGCCTAGTAGCTAAACCCTCATCTTGCATCTGCTGGGAACCCATATGGGCACCAGTTTATGACCCAGCTGGTCCACTTCCCATCCAGTGCCCTCTCCCTGCTTGTGACCTGGGAAAGCAGCAGAGGATGCCCCAAAGCATTAGGACTCTGCACCCACGTTGGATACCCAGAGAAAGCTCCCGGATCCTAGCTTCAGGTCAGCCCCAGCTCCAGCCATTGTGACCACTTGAGTGAGCCAGTGGATGGAAGATCTTTCTCTCTGTATCTCATTCTCTGTGTATCTGCCTTTCCAATTAAAAAAAAAAAAATAGTATATATATAGAGAGAGAATCAAAAATTCAGGGCACAGAAAAAATCAGTTCAAAAGACACATTAGGAGCCTGGCATTGTGGCACAGTGAGTTAAGCCTGTTTCCAATCCAGCTTACTGCTGGTGTGCCTGGGAAAGCAGCAGCCCATCATCCAAGTGCTCACGTGGCAGTCTCAGGTGGAGCTCCCTGGCTCCTGGTTTCAGCCTGGTCCACTCTCAGCTAGTGTCTCTTGAGTGACCCAGCAGATGGAATATTCATTTCCCCTTCTTTCTTGCTTTGCTCATATGATAGCTCAGGTGTGGAGAACTTCAAAAATAAATTAGCAAAAAAAAATTTTTTTAAGTATTAATAAATATGAAGTATTGGTAATATTAAATAATGTCAGCTTAAACCCCAGAGAACCAGGTTTTACTCAGTTTCAAAAAAGACAATGATCACAAGTAAATACTGCTTGAGGCTTTACCTGTGAAATTTATATCTTCCTCTAAAATGAAATTCCATACAGCCATTTTATAGAGGTTTGCATTTTGCATGTGCTGATGTGTAACACTGTTTCTGCAAATAGGCACAGGATTATTCCTAAAAAGAAATCCAAACTCCTAGGACAGGATTTGGGGGTTTACAATAATATGGAGATTTTATTAAATTAGAACTTAGGATTTACAAGAGGAAAGATACAGAGAAAGATCTTCTGTCTGCTTTTTCACTTCCCAGTTGGCTACAGCAGCCAGAGCTGAGCCAATCCGAAGCCAGGAGCTTCTTCTGGGTCTCCCACGTGGGTGCAGGGTCCCAAGGCTTTGGTCCATTCTCAACTGCTTTCCCAGGCCACAAGCAGGGAGCTGGATGAGAGGTGGAGCAGCCAGGATTCAAACCTGCATCCATATGGAATTCCAGTGCATCCAAGTTGAGGACTTTAGCCAGCTACTGCACTGGGCCTAGAAATTTTATCTTCAACACAGTTCTTAGGTTTTTTAACCCCAAAGGCATTTCAAAAATCTCATAGTATGTGAATTAGAGGCAAGCTTATTTTGTTGTATAATATTTTTTTTTCTTTTTGGTTTTTTTTTGTTTTGTTTTGTTTTTGGTATATTTTTTAAATGTAAGGTTAGTTTTCCAATAAAACATATAGTCCTGAAACCTAAGATCCCTTATATGCATAATTTCCTTTTTTTTTTTGGCACCGAGGGCACGTGTTTGGCCTAGTAGTTAGGCTGCTTCCTGAACACCTGGAGCCCATACTTGAGTGCCTGTGTATGTCCCGGCTCCACTCTTTCTTGCTGAAGCAGCTGCTGACGGTACAAGTAGCTAGGTGACTGACACCTGCATAGGAAACCTAGCCTGAGTCCTTGGTTCAGGGCTACATCATATTACAGATATTTTGAGGAGTGTCCAGCAAAAGGGGTCTCTGTCTCAACTAACACAGTTTTGCACCGAAATTATCTCATCTTTTAATCCAGATGTTGCACAAACTTCACACTTATTTTTTTTTAATTTAAACATGTTACTTTGAAAGAATGACAGAGTTATCGTCCATCCAGTGGTTCATTCCCCAGATGCCACAACAACCAGGGCCGGGCTAGACCAAAGTCAAGAACCTGAAGCTCCATCAGGACCAACCACATGGTTGTCAGGAACTCAAGCATCTTCTGCTGCCTTCCCAGGTGCATTAGCAGGACTCAGGGTCAGAAACACAGCATCCAGGATTCAAACCAGCACTCCAAAACAGGATGCCGGTGTTCTAAACAGCAACTGCCTTTACCACAGCACCCAAAGCAGAAATTTTTTTTTAATCAGCCATACAGTATATATTTCAGGGTAGAATGTAAATATAACAAACTTTCACAATATCAGTATAGACAAATAAGCAAAAAGAGCTAGTAGTGATGTCTACCTAAATCTAGCCTCATTTTAAAATGTACTTATTTTCATATTTGAAAGCCAGAGGGGGAAAAAAGATATTCACTGGTTCAAACGAATGCAACCCATGGGCCAGGGATAGATCAAACAAGGCGGTCAGAACTCATTCTGGGCTTTCACATGAGTGGGCCAGGCCCTAGGCATTGGAGTCATCATCTGCTTCCTCTCAGTGAGCCCATTAATAGAAAGCTGGACTGGGAAGCAGAGTGGCTGGGACTGGAGCCAGCATGAGCCTAACTGCCACATTGGGAATGGCTGCCTCCTCATTTGCTAAGCAGCTAACTTCCCTCAGCGCAATCCTGGGTCAACAGCTGCATTATGTACAAAGGAAGGATACTCCACAAAACAAAATCCACATGCTGTCTTCTTCACTTTATCCAGACCCATAATAATTTTCTTTATGTCACCACTTTTACTGAAAAGTTCATAGATTTGTTCTTCAGTTGTGTAGAAGGAAAGATTCCCAACATACAGTGTACAGCTTTTCTTCAGTAATTTTTCTTGTTCTTCATTATCACCCTAGAATTCCAAAGAGAGACAAAGTTAAACAGCACTAGTTATTTTTAAAAGAGCTTTGTTTAGGGCCCAGCACCACAGCCTAATGGTTGGAGTCCTTGGCTTGTGATTGCCCAGATCCCATATGGACACTGGTTCGTATCCCAGAGGCCCACTTCCCATCCAGCTCCCTGCACGTGGCCTGGGAAAGCCATAGACAGCCCAAAGCCTTGGGACCGTGCACCCGCATAGGAGACCTGGAAAAATCTCCTGACTTCAGATTGGCAACTCCAGCTGCTGCAACCACTTGCAGAGTCAATGAGTGGATGGAAGATCTTCCTCTCTGTATATCTGACTTTGCAATAAAAATATTTTTTTTAAAAAAAAAAGCTTTGTTTAAATACAATGAAACATTAATTCTGATTTGGAAATAAAATGATTTCACCAACCCAATTCATGACAAATCCTGTGTCAATAAAGGGGGAATTCAAATTCTATAACATCCTCATGCAAGGTCCCGGCTGGTTTCAGGGGAAGGACAAGGCTGGAATCAGTCACAGTGCTGCAGGCCACCTTTTCACTCCTGCATTGGGTGCCACACTTGGCACTGTTCAAATCCCAATGCACCAGAAAAGACACTTTCCTCCTCTTGAGTGAGAAGTGGATTTTCATACAGAGACTCCCCCTTACAATGGGTTAGATGATCTGTAAGGTTGGAGTTTAGGAGAAAAGATAACAATCACTAACTACAAAAGACCTCATTCCTTTTTTTTTTTTTCTTTTAAGATTTTATTTACTTTTATTGGAAAGTCAGATATACAGAAAGGAGAAACAGAGAGGAACTTCTGTCCAACGATTCACTTCCCAAGTGGCCGCAAAGGCTGGTGCTACGCCGATCTGAAGCCAGGATCCAGGAACTTCCTCCAGGTCTCCTACACAGGTGCAGGGTCCCAAGGCTTTGGAGCCGTCCTTGACTGCTTACCCAGGCCACAAGCAGGCAGCAGGATGGGTAGCGGGGCGTCTAGGATTAGAACTGGTGACCACATGGGATCCTGGCATGTGCAAGGCGAGGAGTTTAACCACTACGCTATCGCGCTGGGCCCCTCTGCATAGCTTTTATGCGACCACATTCAGTGGTAACTAAACTCAGATCACAAGTAAACAGGGTGGGTGAGTGTTTGGCACAGCCGCATCCTGGGTCACAGCAACCTGGGTTCAAGTCCCAGCCTCACTTCCCTTCCTGCTCAGCTCAAGGCACCGGATCCCTGCCACCGCCCCCCGGGGAGACCTGGGTTGTGTTCCTGGGCATGTGAGGGAGTGAACCAGTCCCATGGGTTCTGTCAACTTATCAAAAAAGAAACTTGTGCAACTGTGGGATAACCTACATATATAGCGAAGAGGCAGAGGAATAAGCGCTCCAGCCAACTGGCTCATTCTGCTAACAGAATAGTTAACCTAGGTAACTTTATGAGCGCTGCCCCCCTCCAACCAATGCTCGTCCCCACCGTGCTGTAAGGAAAAGTCCATTTAGTATCTGCAGTCGTTCGATTTCCCTGTGATACAGCCTAAGCTAAAACCCCCTCCTGCGAAGTCCAGCAGTTCTGCGATCCGCACGCTGCGGGCATCCTCAAGGCGCCTCTCTCCACTCGGGAATTCTCCCGGGGTCCGGAGATGCGACTGAATTTTCGATCATATATATATATATATATATATATATAGATAGATGTATCATATACACCAATCATATATATATATACACACACCGTGTAGAAAGAGCCCCTAGGGTTTGACCATCCTTAAAGGACCCTAGGCACCAAAGAACACTGGTTATTTAAAAGAATAAAAAAAAAAACCCGGTACCCGGGTCACACAGGTGCCCCCACGGACTCCGCACCCCCTTTTCCGGAGGCGCAGCCGGGAAGGAACCCCAGCGAGCCCCACGCAGCACTCCGGCACCCAGCCGCGGCCTCCCCAGCGCGCCCCGGGGCGCCCTTCTCCCCGCGTCGGGGCCGCCGGACGCCAGCCGACACAATCCCCCGGGCCGCGCCGTTCCTCGGCGTTCCGGCTCCGGGCCTCGCTCACCCGGAAGTGCTGGTCCCGGTACTGGCTCAGCTCCACGTAGGAGTCGCTGCGCAGCGCCTTGAGGAGGCCGCCCGACATCGCTCCCAGAGCCGCACACGGACGCGCCGACGCCGGAGAGCACGGCACCACACCGGGGCGGCGGCGGAAACGGCGCGGCGCAGGCGGAGACGGGCAGGCCCAATCCGAGCGCGGCCGTGTCGTCATCAGGCGGCGCCCCGCCGTCCGCAGCCGAGCCGGGCGGGCAGAGCGGCGTGCTCCGGTTCCGGGCAGCACCTCAGCACGATGATTCTCCGGCGCCTGCTGGCCGCTCTGCTGTACAGCCCGCAGCTGGTGGAGCGGCTGGCCGAGTCGTGGCCCATCCGGCGCGCGGCGCAGCTCACGGCCTTCGCGCTGCTGCAGGCCCAGCTGCGCGGCCAGGACGCGGCCCGCCGTCTGCGGAGCCTGGCGGCGGGGCCCGCGAGCTCCTTCGGCCAACGCGCCGCGCGTTTCCGAGACGCCTTTGCCCAGGAATTGCGTCGCGGCCTTCGGGACCGCCCGGGGCCACCGCCGGGTAGCCAGAAAGGGCCAGGCGCACACCCTTGAGCCCCGGGCGGAGGAGTCGTCCCAGGTCTGGCACGCGGCCTGAAGATGGCCTAGGGCAAACGGTCATCCTTTTGAAGTTCCTGTGAGGAGCAAGTTTGCACGGTGCAAAGAGACCCCGAAGCCTGAGGCCCGCGCGGAGGACAGCGGGAGGACTGCGGACTGACAACCAAAAAGGGAGCCTGCCCTGCCTGCACGGGACACACACACACGAGCTGGATGCGCATCTGAAGATTACGGACGGCAAGACGGCCCTGCCGCTGCCAAGAATGCTCTGATTAAATGCATGAACTGCTAGACATGAGTGTGGTGCTTCTAAGATGAGGTGGACCGGGATCCTAGGCTCCACAGGGACATGCACACAGAGTGAGTGCTTTATTCAGGGGTGACTCTTGCTAACTGCTGCACTCTGGGTTATCCCACCTGCTCCTTACAATCGCGTTTATAGGAGGAGGCAGATATGACTTCTGAGGTTGGCCAGGGTCTTACAGACTGGAATGTGAGGATAGGCATTTGACTCCAGGACCTAAACCCTTCAGCACAGCTCCAAACAGCAGCAACCCTCCCTAGGAATACGTACTGTCCTCCACCATCATCACTGCCAGGCATTAAGACTACTGCCCACCGTGGCATAAATGCTCCCAGGATTCCCAGTCAACATTTTTAAGGGTCTGGAATACAAAAGTGCGGTCCAGCCAACAGACCTGTGATTAGCGTACTCATGATAAAATAATGCCTCATCATTCATTGCCATGTTCTCCCACCCAATTAGTCATTCCGTCCAGAAAGCCTGAGTTCCCCAGGAAAGCCTTCAGGCAGGTGACTAGGACCGAGCCCACTGGACCAGGCTGGTAGGGACAGGAGGAGAGGGGAGAACTTTTCCAGAACTCAGAATCAGCAGGTACCAGGGTGCCATTGAGCCATTCAGTGGATCCCTCCTCCCACTTCCGCTCAAAAAGAGAGTGAGAGAAGCTGTCAGAGTCCGGGCTAAAGCCCCCCGGACCGTCAGGGTGGGAGCTAGTCAACCCCCAGAGAACGACAGAAGTCTCACTGGTAATGCAAACAGCAAACAGAGTTTATTGCGCCAGCATGCTGGGGTCAGACCTCGCTTGGGGCACACAGGCCAGCCAAGCGGGCGGTCGGACCCCGAACAGCCTAAGACAGAAGCTCATATAGGCCCTTTTGGGCTGAGAAATACATCAGAAGTAACACAACCTTAGACATGTTTTTACGGCCTTCAGGCACAGGCAGCCTGTTCTGTTCCCACACCCATTATCTGTATGGCTCATCCCATTCTCACACCCTTAACTTCCTCCTGTTGCTGGGACCGGCGAAGAATTGCGCCCTTCCCCCTCCCGGCCCCTCCCCCCCCACCTGGGTTCACAAAGTTACGGAAATCTTCCTTGCCTCCTGGCCTAGCAAAGTAGCAGTTTTTCAGCACAAAGGAATCACACTGCCCAACAATAACATTTTACCCACACTAACAAAGCCTGTTGAGATGAGGGGCTTGTACTGTGGGGTCCATGAATGGCAGTATTAGCTGGCACAGTGAGTGGCAGGTCTGGGAGCAGAGGGTCCCCCAACCTGCATCTGAGCCAGCTACTCTCTTTCACCACATTCCCCTGAAGGTATTCGGCAGTCCAGACTGACTGAGAAGTCCACAGAGCAAGAGGTCACTCACAAGTATCATTCATACAACCAGGCTCTGTTGTATATTTTAAAACATCATGGTGGCTGGAAGGAGTAAGGCAAGGGCAGACGTCAGGTGCAACTCATCATACCAGGATTCTTGGGGGACCTTCACGCAAGGACCATGACTCATCAGATCTTGGCCCTCTGAGGAGAAAAGTGCCCACTCACCCAGGAGGCAGAGCCCCCTTCAACCGTACCCAGCAGAGGCAGCCAGAAAACCCTGTTTGCAGCACTGCTACCCAGCCATACAGCAGGTGCGATGGCTTCTCCTAGGGCCAAATTCTGGGCAGTGGGTGCTTGGGCTTGTCATCCGGCTTCAATTCTAGCTCCACGATATGGAGACTAAGGCAGTCCTTCCAGGCCCTACTCAGCAGGGAGGACAGGGGCGGGGGGTCCTCCAAGGTCAGGTGGGGAAACAGACGCTTCTCATTCTTAGGAAGGTAGCCGCACTTCTCCACGGCCTTCCTGGTAGTGCCAGGTGTTATTACAAAGACGCGGCAGAGCCGTGGTCCCCTGGTTGCTTGGCAGGCAGGTTGTCTGGTGACATTGTTGAGGGCTTGGCACAGGATCCAGTCTTCAGTCCCACCCATGTCCATCACCTTCACAGTCGACCTGAGGCTTGAGATGTGGAGGAGGTACTGGGGGGGCATGTAGGTGTGAGAGAAGAGGAGTGTGTAGTGGGTCGACATGCTGGGGAGCACAGGTGCATGAACCACCTGCTCCAAGTACTCCAGGCTGGGCACAAGTCCCCCCTGATGTAGGTAGCCAAAAAAGAGGGCACCCAGGGCATTGAAGAGGAACAGGGTGCCCTTCCAGGGTATAGTCTGTGTCTGTGGACTACAGAGCAGAACCAGGGGGACCAGGAGAGGGATCAAGAACCGGGCCTCCTGATGGCTGAAGACAGACAACAGGACCAGGGGTGTGAAGTACAGGAGAAGAAGGCAAGCCCTGGGGCTGGACCAGAGGCTGGGGGCACTCAGCGTCCTAAGGAGGCCTACCCGGGAAAAGACCTGGAGGCAGATTTGCAGCTGCTGCCATGCAGCCCACAGGGCCTGGGCATGCAGTACCCCAAAGAGCAAGAAGCTGTTGACTGCCAGGTGAGTGAGCCGAGCGTGTGTGCCATGCTTGGCCAGGTTTTGGGGATCAAGGTTGTAGTGCAAGAAGTTAAGAGGTGTGAGCACCAGCATGCTGGAGCTTGAGTGGTGGAAGTACCAGCTGTCAAAGGTTATAAACACCACTGCTGTGAGAGCCACCCCAGGGAGCAACAGCAGGGCCTCCTGGGTTAGAGACTTAAAGCTGAACTTCCTGGCCCCATGGGAGCACCAGAGAAAAAGGGGCACCAAAGCAAAGGCGGGAAAGGTGGGCCGGTTGAAGAAGCCAGCAGCCAGGACACCACCGAGAAGCCAACGGTGCCACCATGGCTCTGGTGCAGGTGTCCTGGGTGAGCGGCTCCATGCCACCCGGGAGGAAACCAGCATGAGCAGGCACGCGATGAGCAGGCCTTCGATGGCATTGGAGAAGGTCCTTGTGTAGAAGACCAGGGTGACATAGGAGCCAGATACCAAGAGCAGGGCGTTCCAGCGATCTGCCTTCCACAGTGGAGCCAGGTGGTACACAGCCAAGTCCAGGGTGAAGGAGAGGGCGGTGAGGAGTAGCCGAGGCCCCACCAGCAGTGTGTAGCTGCTCACTGGGCCAGTCCACAGCCCTAGCTCTTCCAAGAACCTGAGCAGCCAGAAGGCAGAACCAGAGGTCAGCAGTGGGAAGACCACAGTCCGGCAGGAGTTGCTGGGGAAATACTCCCAGGGTCGCATGGCCTGTAAGCCCAGGACGTCCTCTGCAGAGAGAGGGAGGTGGAGGTGAGCCAGTGCCAAGCTCAGGGACAAGCTGAGCAAAACTCCAGGATGGGCACCAGTCCTGTGATTGGGTTACATGGGTATGAGTGTGTACGTGCTGGCTAGTACAGGGAGCGGTTACAAGGAGGGCCTGACTTCATTGTGCTAACCCTGTAAGCTAGTTTTCTCCAGCTCAATGCAGAAAAGGCCAGCAGTTCAAAGTCTGAGAGGGGATCTGATGTGGCATTATGGACTTAGAAGGAGGGGGCCATTGGCAAGGAATGTAGGTGAGAGCAAGGACATAGGAGCCACAGTTTTGCCAACAGCAAGAAAGAGCTTGCAAACAGATCCCCCGCCCGTCCCCCCCAAAACCAGAATGCAGCGCAGCCCCTCCCTTGACTCTTGACCCTGTGATGCAGAGAGCCCAGGCTGAACCCCATGGCCCAGGGCAACTAGAGGGAGCCCCAGGAGGAGCGGGACCCCAACTTTGCCAAGGGCGCAGGAGGGGCTGTGCCCTGGACAGGGGCTGTGAGGAGAAGCCCAGGGAGGCCTCAGTGCCCATCTTAGAGCTCTAAGGTCTCAAAAGTCCAAGTTAGAATCCCAGCTTTGTCACAGCAGGGCCAGAGAATAAAGCATCAGGGTTATTATAGCCAAGGGTGACATTTCTGCTGCAGATACTTAAACTTTTCTTACAAGAAGAATGGATTCTAACAGTCCTAGAGTTCAGAGGTAAGGATGGGACACAGGTTCTTCTGCAACCATACTTAAGGCCGGTGCCCTCCATCTGCCCAACGCCCCCCAGCTTTTCAGGTTGAACAACCTTTCTGGCTGTGTGGAGCTGGGACTGATTATAAGGCTTATGAATCATTCACACTCTTCTGCCATTTATCCCTCCAGGCTTTTGGCCCACTTTATGTCAGAAGGGAAAATGGAAAAAATACAGGATCTATCTGACTGTTTATCCACTAGCTTAGATTTTTTAAAAATGAGTGCAGAAGGAGGCTGTACCTTTCCACTGGGGGGGGAAATGAGTGCACGTATTGAGTCCTGTGGCAGATGGCTCTGGTTCCTGAGTTTGTAGTCTCGCCCACCCCTTCTTCCTGCTCTTTCTGAGCACTTGTTCACCTCATATAAAAACCACCTTTCGGGCCCAGCGGCGTGGCTTAACGGCTAAAGTCCTCGCCTTGAACGTGCCAGGATCCCATATGGGTGCTGGTTCTAATCCCGGCAGCTCCACTTCCCATCCAGCTCCCTGCTTCTGGCCTGGGAAAGCAGTCAAGGACGGCCCAAGGCTTTGGGACCCTGCACCCGCATGGGAGACCTGGAGGAGGTTCCTGGCTCCTGGCTTCGGATCGGCGCAGTACCGGCCGTTGCAGTCACTTGGGGAGTGAATCATCGGATGGAAGATCTTCCTCTCTGTCTCTCCTCCTATCTGTATATATGACTTTGTAAAAATAAATAAATAAATCTTAAAAAAAAAAAAAACACCTTTCTCAGCTTCCTTTGTAATACATTCTGACTAGTGGGGTGGAAACAGGCAAAAAAAAAAAAAAAAAAAAGGTAGCTTCATAAAACATGGCTCCCAAATTAAAAAGAAAATTTAAAAAATAAATAAATAAAAAGAAAAACATGGCCTAAAAGAGGCACATTCACTTCCTCCAGTGCCAGAAAGACCTGCTTTTAGACTTGATGAGTGGAGCTCAAGCAGCCATCTGGAACCCATGAGGAGGAAGGTCCAGGCCCACAGCATTTGGAAAGTTCTCCTCTGTATGTCCTACACGCTAAGCAGCTCTGCACTAGCAGCCTGGTATTCGGGGCTGGGCTCGCTCCCCTTGCATTGAAGCCTACAGAAGAAAGGCTTTGTCGTTTCAGCTCACATGTACACACTGTTCAGGCTTTCCCAACCATTTGGGAAGACCATTTCTAACACTGTTCCACTGAGAAGTTCCATACAGCTCTACACTGAACATCGGTGCCATGGGTACAAACAGGAAAAGAGGCTGGTGCTTATTAGTGTCAACCGCAAGGTCAGTGTTACCACCCAGAGAAATGTGGAATCCTTGCTTCTCAGTCATTCATGTGGAGAGGCCACGACTTTGGCAGTGAATTAACCCATTGCTGTGCACACAAAGAGGCTGTTCCACCCACCACACACACAACATCCTACCAGATCTTCACTCTGCTGCACTCATCTCAAGCCCGAGTCGGGAGCTTTACCTGCCATGACCTCTGGCGACTGGAAGAACTCATCCGGATGCACGTAGCCCGTCTGTGGGAGGAGACACCACAGCACCCGGAACAGGCCTAAGCTGCGCCAGAGCACCTGGCGGCGATCTTGCGAACCAGCTGTGCTACACCACACACGTGACCGAAAGCTTGAGGGACTTGGAGCTGCCGCAGATGCTCCTCTGGGCCGGCAGGGCTGCATCTCCTGAGGGTGAGATCTGTCAGGTTTCACAGTGTCAGTTACCAGACATCCAGCTGCCTGACCAAGCTCAAAATGAATCTCCATACAAGACAAATGAGAATCATAGCCATCTTTTTGTCTTTTTTCTTTTCTAACTAAGCTTTTGCCAAATACCAGGCAGTTGACATGTATGTCACATTTAATCTTTTCCACAATTTAGAGCCGTAGATTTCCCACCTTTTCACAGATGGGGAAATGAAGACCTCTGTTGGATAACCACTTTATTGATTGATTGCATTGGTGAGGGGTCTGTGGCCTTGATTGTTGAGGCATGAACTTGGCTAAGGACATGCCCAGAGAGCTGCCAACCATCATTTCTGAGAGAGCTCATGGTGGTGGTTCAGGAAGACAGGCGTACTTGAGGAAAGAGGACCTTCACTAATGGGGCGGGGGTGGGGCACCACCCAGTCCACTGAGGGCTGAACAAGACAAGAGAGCATATTTGCTGTCCCATCTGATCTGGTACCTCCTGCCTTCAGACCTCAGAGCTCCTGGCTGTCAGGCCTTTTGAACTGGCCTGTTACACAGCACTAGCTCCCCCAACCCCAAGTCCAGGTTCTCAGGTCTCTGGGCTGGGACTGGGAGTTATACCACAAGCTCTTCTGCTCCAGCTTTGATTTCAGACAACCAAACCACTGTTGGACTCCTTGGCCTCTCCCTTTGCACAAGCTAGTTCCCCCAGTAAAGAATGCACTCCCTGTTGCTTCTGCCTCTCTGGGGACTCTGTGATCCAGTGTGTACATGTGACATTTGCTAACTCAGATTTCCCGACAAGGCATTTGTTAAGTGTCTAAACATGACATTGGATAGATATGGAATTTGCAAGTAGGGTTAGGGTACTCCAAAAATCTGGGTCTTGTAGCCTCACCTGATCACCAGGCCAGCATAATAGGCTGTTTCTTACACTTTGAAAAACCTGGCAACCCCACTGGGATATCACCATTCCCCTGTCAGAATGGGTGGCATGCCTCCAGCCCACTGTGGCTGCCTCTGGGGAAGTGAGACTGGAGTTCTCAGCGCCTCATCTCAGACATCAGTGAGAATCTGAGTCTACTGCATGATGAGTGACATTTAAGTAGCACCTCACCTCCAGTAATTGGGAAAACTAGTGTGACAGCCTTTTTGTCACTCCTCCAGAAATGCTGATTGCTGACCTGCCTTAGAGACAGCCTGGCCTTCAGTGACTTCTTATCAGGGGTGATGTCATACCAGAGGAGACAGCCAGACAGTCAATGCCCACTCTCCAACAATGGGTACCCTATACCACCAGGAATTCAGATTGTGGGTTTGGCTCTCAGCAGCCACAGCCCTCTGGCTTAAAGAGATAATGGTACCCAGGGCCAGCAAGGAATCTCAAGTCATTTTATGAACTGAGCTGGGAATGGAGCCAGATGATCATCCCAGTGTGGTGAGGGGTAACTAGCCAAGTCTTGAGACACTCATTTGTATTCAAGTGTCCCAAGGTGTCACATTATCAGTCATCATACCTTGCCTGGAGTGTCCAAGGGTACTATTCTGTGTTTCCCTAGGCTCTGTGGCTTGCCAATGCTACCCTTACCAGTGGGGATAGTCATCTGTTCTGATGAGAGAATTCATCCCAGAAAACCCCAGAACCTATTCAGGAAACTCATTCCTCAATTTAAAAAAATTCATTTCTCTACAGTCACGTCCAGTCCCCAGATATGTATGTCAGGGTTTAGCCTGAGGAACCCAATAGGAAATGTACGTACATGGTAACATTTATTGTAAGGAGCTGACTTGTACACTCTAGACAAGTCCCAGTTCCATCGGGCAGACATTGGGAAGTGCAGGTCCTTCAGCTATTAAATCAGGTCTGTACCCACTGAGGATGGTTGAATGAATAATAGAGCCTGGGACCTAGACAAGCTGATTTAGGGAATCGCCATCACACCCTAAATAACTCAGTGTCTGTAACTGTGTTTGCACTGTGACCAACATTTTGTTAATGGTTTACCAATGTGTTCCTTGCAGCTCTGGTTCCTTCTGATTATGCTATAGAGACTGGCATGGTGGCACAGCATGCTAATCATCTGCCTTTAAACACTGACATCCCATATGAGCCCTGGTTCCAAGCCTGACTGCTCCACTTCTAATTCAGCTTCCTGCTTGTGGCCAGGGAAAGCAGCCAAAGATGACCCAAGTCCTTGGGCCCCTGAACTCTCATGGGAAACCCAGAAGAAGCTCCTGACTCCTGACTTTGGATTGGCTCAACTCTGGCCATTGCAGCTATTTGAGGAATAAACCAGTGAAGGCATTTTCTGTCCTCTCTGTAAATCTGCCTTTCAAATAGAAAACAATAACAAATCTTTTTTTAAAAATTCACTGAAACCTGGTTTTTATTCCACTGTAAGCACAGGTTTTTTTTAAAATTCTTACCTGCTGCAATAAACTGTTATGTAAGAGTCCTATGGTGTGTGCACCTGGGTGTGGGATCACTGAGTCCTGGCGGTGCACACACTTTAGCAGCCCGGAACAGTGCCAAGCCCTTTCCAGAGGCCCCTGCCGGCTGCTGTGCAGAGCAGAGCTCACGGCTTCCTGTGCTAACTGGTGCTAGGAATTGTCTCACAGCTTGGTTTGTGACTCTTGTGCACACTAAAATGACTTTCTCTGATCACTGATGAGGCTAAACACTTTTTCAAATGTGGAAAATTTTTGCTTTTTTGGAGTTCCTTTTGATCATTTTTATTAAGTGGACTTTTTCTTATGCTCAGGCATTCATTATTGCATGGTAAATATTCCTATTTGTGGCTTATTTATTTCAATTCCTAATATTGTTTATTTGTGGCTTTTTTTCTTGATCATTCTCACTATAATTTTGTTGATTTTATGAAGCTTTTGAAAAAGCAAACTATGGCTTTTTAAAAATTTTATTTTTTGCAAATTTTGGGCTGCTTTATTTTGGGGCCTGGCATGATGGGTCAGTTGGGTAATCTTCTCTTTTTGCAAGCGTCAGGATCCCATATGGACGCTGGTTTGTATTCTGGCTGCTACACTTCCCTTCCAGCTCCCTGCTTGTGGCCTGGGAAAGCAGTGACGGACAGCCCAAAGCCTTGGGACCCTGAACCCGTGTAGGAGACCAGGAAGAAGCTCCTAGCTCCTGACTTCAGGTTGGCTCAGCACTGGTCGTCATGGCCATTTGGGGAGTGAGCCAGTCAATGGAAGATCTTTTTCTCTCCTTCTCTCTGTAGATCTGCCTTTCCAATAAAAATAAGTCTTTTTAAAAAAAGCTTTTAAAAAGTATCTACCTACCTACCTATTTACATGTTTGAAAGGCAGAGCAACATCGGGAGGGACATTTTCTACTTACTCCCCAGTGGGCACAGAGTCTGGACTGAGACTCTGTTGTGGTCTGTGCATAAGATAATCCAGTCAGGAAGCCAAGCATTTGGGCTATCTTCCACTGCTTTCCCAGACACACTAGCAGGGAGCTGGATAAGCAATAGAGCAGCCAGGACGCAACCCAGCCCCTGATATAGGATGTCTGCCTTTCAAATAAATAAATCTTTCAAAACAAGCATTTTATTTTAAAAAATTATCTCCAATAAAAGAATAAAAAGAAATTTAAAAATGTATCTTCATTTTATTTGGAAGGTAGAGAGAGCAGAACCTTTACCTGCTGGTTCACTCCCCAAATGTCCCCGAAAGAAAGTTGGTCCAGGCTGAAGCTGGGAGCCTGGAACTCTATCCAGGTATCCTACAAAGCTGGCAACAACCCACATTGCTTTTCACACTGCCCTTGCAGGGCCCGCATTATCAGAAAGCTGATAACTGGAAGGTAAGCTGGAACTGGAAGGTAAACCCAAGTAAACCTAACTGGAAGGAAAACTGACACATCCATGTGGGATTTGAGCCACTCAACTGTTAAGCAAAGCACCTATCTCTTAATGGTCCTTTTTTTTGTAAACATTGTGCGAGCGCTTGAAAATTTGGCATATTGGGCCTGGTGCGCTAGCTTAATGGCTATAGTCCTCACCTTGCATGTTCTGGGATCCCATATGGTTCCCAGTTCATGTTCTGGCAGCTACATTTCCCATCCAGCTCCCTGCTTATGGCCTGGGAAAGCAGTGACAGACAGCCCAGAGCCTTGGGACCCTGCACTTGCATGGGAGACCCAGAAAAAGCTCCTGGTACCTGGCTTTGGATCGGTTCAGCTCCAGCCATTGTGGCCATTTGGGGAGTGAGCCAACAGAAGGATGATCTTTCTCTTGTTTCTTCTCTCTGTAAATCTGACTTTCCAACAAGATAAGTAAATCTTTATTTAAAATGAAGAATAAATAGAAGTGATCTTCAGGAAGTTTAAAATGGGGGCTGTGTTGTGCTGCAATGGGTGAAGCTGCTGCCTCTGACACTGGCATCCCATATGGATTTGAATTCCAGCTGCTCTGCTTCTGATCCAGTTCCATAATAACGCACCTGAGAAAACTGCAAAAGATGGGCCAGGTGGTTGGGCTCTTGTCAGCAATGTGGGAGAAGAAGTGTCTGGCTCCTGGCTTCAGCCTGACCTAGCCCTGGCTGTTGGAAGCCATCTGGGGAATGAGGCAGCAGATAGAAGATGTCTGTCATTCACTCTATTTCTATAATTCTTTCAGATAAACAAATACATCTTAAAAACAAAACAACAAAACCCAGAAACTTCACAGGCACTGGGCAATGGCTATTATGAAGGTAACTGTGTGTATTTCAATTTATTTCAAAATAAGCTTATCGGGCCCGGCGCGGTGGCGCAAGTGGTTAAGGTCCTCGCCTTGCACGCCCGGGATCCCATATGGGCGCTGGTTCTATCCCGGCAGCCCTGCTTCCCATCCAGCTCCCTGCCTGTGGCCCGGGAAAGCAGTCAAGGACGGCCCAAAGCTTTGGGACCCTGCACCCGCGTGGGAGACCCAGAAGAGGCTCCTGGCTTCAGATCAGCATAGCATCGGCCGTTGTGCTCACTTGGGGAG